CTGAAGTTGTCCTTCTCCGGACCTTTCTCATCTCTACTGTGACTCTTTGAGCTGCAGTGACCAGAAGTGATACACTGAGTGTACACACAAGCATAAAGGATAACCAAATACAGAATTTCAAGGAAGGGACTATTGGAAGCAAAAGAAAATTGGAAGTTAACGTTAAGAGAAATGGTAGAAACAAACATAGTTTTAAAAAAATAAAATTGTGTTAGAAAAGATGAAAATTAGCCTCATTGTAACAGTTAGCAAGCTGGAGTTGGGAGAAAAGCAAATTTTGGAAAAGGGTTAATTCTATGTCTTCCAAGCTCCAAACCACCAAGGGTGTTCCCTGCATTAGAGTGAAGTCAAACTCGCCACCATGGCCAGTGATCTGGTCCCTGTCAGTCTCTCCCACTTCATGTCCATCTGCTGCCACCTGGCTTCAGTCACACCGGCCGTCCTGCTGCTCTTGGCCATACCATACCCCACTGTGACTCCAGAGCCTTCCTCCTTGCTGTCCCCTGTGCCTAGACCGTGTCTCCTCTGCCTGGACCATCTTCCCCAGATCTCGCAGTCTCGCTTCTGCATGTCATTCCCCTTCAGGTCCAATGCCCCTTCCTCTTACTGCTCTGGCTTTGTTATCACTCTCTGAACTTACAGTATGAAGCTGTTTACTTTTCTTAAAATCAGTGTCCCCAATTAGAGTATAAACTCTTTGAGGATGAAGAGTTTGAACTGGTCACTGCTGAATCCTCGTCACATCTGGATTAGTGCCTGACATGGGTGAGAGCCAATAATTATTTGTGTGAATGAATGGAAGAGTGGAAGTGGGGGAACTAAATTATCTGGATTCAAATTCCACCTCTGCCTTCGGGCAAGTTACTTGTATACTTCTCTGTATACAATTTGCTTATCTGCAAGAAGGGGATAATGATAGTACCCTCTTAGGGTTATCCTGGAAATTAAGTGAGACAATACATATAAGGTGCTTATAACATGTTAAGCACAATAGTCAGTGATCAACAAATATTAGGATAATTATAATAAAATGGCAAAAAGGGAAAAAGAGAAGCAACACTGACAGTCTTCTTTGAGTAGCAGGAATTTTCTATTAAAAGAGTAAAGGTAAGTGTGGAGCTCCAGAGATTCTCACTTACTCTGCAAAGGTGTGCTTCCAAGGACAAGGAATCAATGACAAGGAAAATTTCCTATTGGGATGGGTTTTGGGGGGCGGTAATCTGAGGGTGTTTTTTTCAAGTTTAAGAAATGTAAAATTCACAACTATAATACCTTCCATTTCTCAAAGTAGCATGTTTGCATCAGGTAAGCATCTAAAGTTTAACACCTGCATATGGAACATGCTTTCTAAAGCTCCTGTGCCTGGTATAATAAGAGTGTAACACCATTCACGTTCTAAAGGTGCTACAAGACAAAAAGGGAAATTGTGACATTACTAGTTAGTTACAGCTACAAGTTCATATTTCCAAAAGCTATTTTGCTCTCCAGAAACAGAAGGAGGAAATTCCTTTAAAAATATGCATATGTAATTATATATGTTTAATCTTGATTTTGAGAGTGTACAATCATTAATAGCCACAACTACCTGTGAAATTTTTAGCTTTTGGTAGGTAACAATAGGGTCTTTTTTTATTTTTTAAGGTTGACCAGTGCAAAGATTATCCTATTTGTTGATGCAAACCCAGTTTAATAAATGCAAATCAAGTGGAAATATGCAGTCTTCCCAAGAATTAGAGGTATGCTCTGTAGCCCACCAGCAATAGAGGGTGACAATAAGTCAGTTGTTGCCAGGCAAAAAGAGGGCAGAGAGGCTCTTCACAGATGGTCTGGAAAGTACCAAACTCTGTCCAGGTCGAGGGGCAGCTGCAGATACTGAGGCCTGTTACTTCCCACCAGAGCTGACAGTTTCTTGTACTTGACCCTGAAGATAAGAATTCTTCCAAAGTGTGGAGTAAACTTTTTGCCAAAGTGTAACCACTTTGGTAGTCAAACATTATCATGAATAAGAACACTTACAAGATGCTTCTTAAAAATAAGATTACTTTTAAGCAGCAGCAGTTCAGTAGAAACCATGTAAATTATAATAATGTAAGTTACTTAACATTTAGATAGCTCTTTATGTGTCTTTTACAGGAGTCCCCAAGTGAAAAAATTTTTTAAAACATAGTGACCACTGAAGTTTTGTACCACTTGAGGAGAGGGTATAATTTTTCTCTTTAATGATATGAATTTAGTATATTACTAATTATTATTTCCCTCTTCCCCTTTGGCTACCAGAAAGCATATTTGTGGTTTGACTACTGCAGTTAGGTCCTTGTGATCTGCTTATTCATGATTTTTCTTACCTCTCTGGTTTTGACTTTCTGCTCTTATTAATCCTTTCTACTGAATTTTAAAATTCTTAAAAAATTTTACTATTATTTTATTATATGTGGTAGTTTAAGCTGACTCAAATCTTTCATAAAAGGAGATGGGTTTTTAGTTTAATTAAGTTGGGTACTTTTCATAAACATAATTTCCCTTGATTGTGATAACAGCCTGAAGAGGTAGACATTATTACCATTCACATTTTACAGACAGAAAAACTAGACTCAAAGATATAAAAAAACTTGCCCAAGATCCAAATATCACACAGTTTTCAGCGTTCTGTGTTGCACTGTCCTACTTCTCTAACAGGACAAAAAATACCATGTATTGCAGTAATATCTTCAGGTAAGAGTTAGTATTGAATTAACAATGGTGAACTTTGTTGCAAAGTATCACACGAATGAGCTAAAATAATATGCATTTAAATTGCAAAAGGAAGGAGTTAGGGTAGTAGTAAATTTTGCCAATAATTATACCTGATTGTAAAATATTAGGCAGTTACAGAAAGATACAGAATTTTCTTTGATGAATTTTCTTAGTCTTTTCTTTTCTTTTAAAGAAAAAGGTAGACAAGAAGGATGAAATTTAGATAAAAGTTCTGCTTGAAGGTAGGAGAACGGGTTATTTGACCTATACAAAATGAAAATGGTTTTTAAACATTAGCCACCACCAGACGTTACTAACTGCTCATTACAGCCCACGGGTGTAAGGAGATGGGCTTTGATCTCCTTTCTAAGGTCACTAGGCTGGCCCTAATTCCAGTGCTTTGGGAACCCCTGCAGTGTTCAACCCTGCAGTTAGGTGTGTTTCCTGGGCAATGAAATCTATGAAAACAGCACAGCCTGGCCGTGGAACACATGTGACAAAATTCAAAGTACATGAGAGCCAAGATCATCACCAACTTAATTTCCCAGCCTTTTCTGCAGAGCACAGTCTCCTTCCTTCCATATATCTATATACACCAGGAAAGCAGTGTCTTGTCCAAGAAGACTAACCAGCTGTAGCTCACTAATGGCATTATAGGGGAAAAAACCCCACAAAATAAAAGAGAGATGACTTCTATTCAAATCCAAAT